GACCATAACCTACTACTAGATAAAGTAGAAGAATGTGGGTTAGACAGCATCACCACCAGATGGAGCCGAGGTGGTGCAGTTAACTCCTTAAAGGACTATTGCCTGGACTTTTCAGTGAGTGAATGCAATTAATTCACAAGGTATATAAAGAGGGGTTTTTCATGACATGGAGTCTGTTTCTTGCTTCTGCCAAGGCTGGGCCAGAACACTGAGATTCGACAACATGTAGGTCCATAGAGCCTTCAAGCAGGGCAGCAGGCTGGTGACTGAGTATATATGTGAATTTCGAAGCCTAGCTTGGAAGTTGAGGGAGTGCTGGTGTACTACTTTCGTGATGGCATGAACCGAGAGCTGTACCATGTCTGCATGTCCTGTGGCCTCCCAGATGATATCCATGTGTGGTACCAGGTGCAATAAAAAGTGGAGTTGGAACTGATAGAGTACAAGAGGCATGGAGGAGCCAAAAGCCAACTGAGAAGAAGCCATTCTCTTGGGTCAGAAGACCCCAGCCGCCACATCCTCCACCCAACGAGGCCCCAAGACATGAACACGGGCTATATTTCAGATGTGGTAAGGAGGGCCATAGGGCTACAACCTGTCCAGTGCCCAAGCCCATGATGGCCCCAAAGGCTCCAAGCCAATCAAAGACCAAAAAGATGCCAAAGAAGGCAAGGGAAAAGATGCTGGTGGCATACGAAATCTTAGAGGTCTCTTCCCCAACCAGTGAGGGGTAACGAATTCTGACTGCTGGTGAGGCTGGGCTGATCTTTTACAAAAGTGACAGCGAAGGGGAGGATGACCCAATGGTAAGTGGAGCTGTCGCTCCTTTTACTACCTGGGTGGAGATTGTAGTGCCGCACTCGGGGTGAGAGGACAGAGGAGTCATAATGGCCCTAATGGAATGCATCCAATGCTTGGCCAGCCTGCAATCAGTGAGGAGTTTAGGATTAAAAGTGAGGAAGCTACGCCAGCCCATGAAGTTCAAGCAGGTCAATGGTTCAATTATAGGAGGACTGTCCACTTCCTATCTGACTGAGCTAGTGAGTATGAGACTGGGGAGTCACAAAGAGACTATCCAATTCATGGTGGCCCCAAAAATGGTAGAAGTCATGATATTGAGGCTGGCATGGTTGAAGAAGTTGAGCCCAACAGTATACTGAGTGCTTAGTGATGACCCAAAACCTACAAGGAAGAAGCATAGTGAGCCCCAGCTACAATCAGGAGGAATGGAAGGGCCTGAGTACATGAAAATGGCTATCAAAATGGTGCCCTGGGAGCCTGCTAGGAGTACAGAGACCTTGCTGAAGTGTTCAGCGAGAAGGAATCCAATGGTCTGATCTCCCATTGTCCTATGGACTGTGCAATTGAGATCTTGCCAGAGGCGAAGCTCCCTAAGCCTAAGATGTACGTACTGACCCCCAAAGAGATGAGGCAAAGTCCCAAGTGGCAGTCCCTATGCTATTTAAAGAGAAAAAAGATCTGTCAGTGATGACCCATCTTTTTTCTCTTTAAATATTCCACAGGATCTACATAGAAAACATGTACCTCCTCCCTCTCATGAAAGACATCCTGGGGTACTTATCCAAAGGAAATGTGTTTACTAAGCTGGACTAAGTTTGTCTTGAAACAATGCAGCAAGACAAGGCAAGAAAATTTCTTAAGGTAATTGGAAAAATATCTGCAAAAATTTGGCCTTCTCCAAGAAATAGTCAAGGGATATAGTGGTTGCATAAGATTCCAAGTACATATTTCAAATCATGTTGAAAATACACACATACCTTCTGCCCCCACAATCACTATGGTCTTAATTAGCTGCTAAACAACAAATCATACTCACAGGTTCAAATTTCTCATGAGTGGATTTCACTTCTTCCAAGGTGGCATCATGGAAGAACAAGCCCCATGCCTGATGGATCCATTCATCATTGGGCTCCATTTGATATGCTGAATAAGGAACAAAAGAACTCATGGAATACAGAGCTTATCCAATGCAAACACTACTGGTATACTTTACCTTGCCATCCACGATACTGAAATACTGAGACCTTGACCCTCCCCTTTAACCAATGAAAAGCATGTCCATTCTATCTATTTACAACTGCCAATCATTCTCATCTCCACTAACGGAAATTGTTTAAGAGGAGGAGAGCTGAGAAGTCTCTTTGAGAAAACATGTGGAATCAAGTTAATGTTGACTCTTAGCAGCCACATAGATCTTCTTCAGAATGATCTATCCCCAAATTGTCCCTTTACGCTTCAGAACAATACACTCATCACCACTGTAATCCCTCACTAAAAATGGCTTGACTTAAGCTCATAGAAACAGCTCTCTGGGGCTGCAAAATGGTTATGCATGGCAAATCAGAAGTAATTTCCTTTTTCCTGGACAGCACAAGAAACTTATCTAACCAGCTCTTTGTGCTAATTCATGTATCCATGGGACATGAAGCACACATGACACATCTCAGTGACCATCTCACAAGTGGCTGTCATAAGGGAATGAGTAATGGAATGGCTATGATTGGAGATAAGTCCAATGGAGACATTTCTTAAATTTGCCAAAGACAGCATAAGCGGGATGTCAGATTACCTTTAAATTCCTTGAGATAGTGAATAATCCAGAGCACCACAGCTCTCTTTGAGGTTTCTGACATTTGGTCATGTGCATCGCTAAACTTTGACACACTGAAATGATACAAGTAACAACAGAAAATGACTCAATGGTTCACAAAAACTTCAGGGACATATCAAGGAGTCAAAAATTCATTTGAAGGCATACATATACAAAAGCTAAAACTGGCCCCAAACCCCTTAAAAGTCATAAGGTTTGGAAAGCCATACCATTTAAGGGTGCCTTTGATTTTGGCCAAGTGGCCAACTATCTTTGTTATTATGTTACTATTTTACTATATATGATGATGTGTGCTATTTTTTGCACTGTTATACATCACTCAGTCAGTATAATTACATATACACAAATAAGCCTAGTGCAACTTATAGGCAAACTGATGCCCTCCTAATGTCCTAGATTACAAGTTCCAAGTTGCTTTATCACCAGTCTTACTGAGGCTTTGATAGCTAAGACACCTGGCGTATATTAGAGTACCTATTTCTGGTCTAATAGTCTCTATTGCAGTAGCCAGGTTGGTAGAAAATATGCAAGGAGCCCAGCGCTTTGTTTGCAGGTGAGCAACCTTGGTAAGAAATAAAGGCAACATAAGTCAGTGAGTGATAATGGGTGTCTGAGGACTAAGAAAAATGGTAGAGAGCAACCTCACTAATTTGTTCTGTGATTGCCCAGACCCACGATTTTGGCCATTTTGTAAATGGACTTCTTTAAGGGACTGCCATGGCTCTTTAAACTTGCACAGCATACTTTAAAAATATGAATGGTGGCCACTGGAACAGAAAGGCTAGAGGCTCCTGCTATAAGGACAAATGTATGGAATACGTACATAACCACGAAGGATGCAAAGTCTTGGGGAATGATGTAAGTAAGTGTTGTGGTATTGAATGCATAAGCAAGGAAGCACAGATTTTGCTGGAATGTGATGTTCCAATCAATTGCAGTGTACATCTCCAAATAAGAAGACGCCAGGTCCAGGAAATGTGTCAAGAGCAACTGGGTCACTTCCAGGTTTGGAAGAACAACAAACTTTTGCTGCACAGGGATTACAAGAAAGTCCGAGAAGTCACCCAATTGAAAAACATAATCATAGAATCATATGCTCATCTGAATGGTGTAGAGATCCATATTTGTATCTAAAAAACCTTGGCCATGGGAAATAAGTTTTAGCCTTGCATTACTCTTGACCCTGCTAATTATGATTATATGGAGTGATTATTTTAATATGAGAAACATTCAAATATGAATTCTTTCTTTCCTACAGTTTAAAGTGGTTCATGACCATTTATCCAGGTATCTCCCCTATAATGGGAAAATCCCAGGGCTTGTTCTTGAGAGATTTAGAATAGAATAGAATGAGCTAGAAGGGATCTTCAAGGTCTTCTAGTCCAGCCCCCTGCTCAAGCAGAACCTATACCCATGATGGTGAACCTATGTCAAGTGTGCCAGAGGTGGCATGCAGAGCCCTCTCTGTGGGCACACATGCTGTTGCCAGCTGCTCTTCACGCCGGAGTGCTGGAAACCCAAAGACCAGCTGGCCAATGCGTGCATTTTAACTAATTTGTTAAATTAAATTCTGAAACAACCCCCTTTATGTTTTCCTCATACAAATGGACTGGGAACAGGGGTGGAGAGGTAGGGACACATACCTTAATAGCAGCTTGGGTGAATTCTTTGAGAATCATCTGGACATCGCTGAAGCTGCTATCTTGGAAGAAGGCCACAAGGTGTTTGGCCGAAGAGATGCTGGTCAAAGTGTCAGAATGGATTATCATATCCCCAATTTGTTTTGGAGTTAATAGATCCAAAACTGTGTACTGTTTGGGAAAATAAATAAATATCTATATATCTAAGATAATAGCTAGATAGCCAGACAGAAAGACAGAAAGAGAGACCTGTAAGCAAATATCAATACAATCACCCACTCTTTCAAATATTAATCAATATTGAAGCAAATGAATAAGTCACACTACTACTCAGACTAGTAGGCTGGCTATGATAGTGGATATTGCCAATAACAAGTCATCTTCTCCAAGCAGTTTTACAGATAATTCCAAAATTCCCAGCCAGCTGGCCCAATGCAGAAACCATCAGATTAGAGGAAAACTGTGCTCATTTTGATTGTCACTCTTCCTTCTTGCTTAGCATGGAAAGGTAATAGTTTGCTGAAGATGATAGATTTTTTGATTGACTGACTGAGGAAAAAAAGGCCCCAGCCTACTTTTTTCCAACTGATATACTGTACAGTATATTTTTTATGTAAAAGAGTGTTGATTTTTCCATTTCTAATCTTTAATATCCAAGGACCCCCTTGAAAGAACCAATCTCACATCTCACACATTTTCTTTCCTTCAATTCTTCACCAGGAGACAGTCAATCTTGCCCTAGTCAATAGTGAACATAGTTTTCTTTTTACGGTACATCTGGAGAAATGGGGCATTAGGTCAACACCACTAGGCAAAAGAGTTCTTCTCTTATATGCCCAGAAACCACAAGACATGGCAGGCTGAAGTCCAAACCATAAAAGACTTACTACATCAAAGGTCCGGCGGTAGTAGGAAACCAACTGAATGTATGGCATAGTCACAGAGAATCTCCTAAAGAATTTGATGAGCCACTTTCTGGTTGTTGTTTGTTCAGAACAGATGGGACCTACAAAAGCATGCAAAAATAAAAGTTGTGAGCCAACTTCTTTACTGAGGACTGTGGTTCTGCTCCCTAATGAAATTCTACTGTAGTGCAAATTAATTATTACTGTCTCTTCAGATATAATTACCTATATGTTAAGTTTTTTTCCAACAATAATGCCTTGCTTCCTGTTCCATTTTATGACTTCTTTCTCCTGTGTCTGACAGCCTGATCCTAACCCTTTCTCCCCTCCACCCCTTGCAGAGAGGAAAGTTTGCTTAAACAAGCTATCTTTTCTTACAGTGCTTTTCTTCCCAGCTGAAGTGGCAACAGCAGCAGCAGCAGCAGCACTTCCCAAAAAGGAGCTAATCTCAGTTAGCTCAGCTCTGAAAGCTTAATTAGTCAATTAACACCTTCCACATCTGAAATTGGCAAGACCCTAATTAGTTAGACCCTACTTAGGCTTTCTTCTGCCTCCTAAGCATCTGGAAATCATGCTAAGGAAACAGCCAGTATATTCCCTGTTGTGCACCTACAGTGTTTGCTCTCTTGTAATCTCATTCTGACCAAAGAGTGTAAATATAAGCATTAATTTCCCCTTGCTAGTATAATAGAATCACGTGAGGATTTCAAGGGGTGGTAAGTGAGGAAAAGGGGCTATAAGACTGCCCCTCTTTTCCCAGCTTCCTCCTGAACTGATTTCTGGGATCTCCTCTGCCATTTGAGCTCACCCAGCTGTTTGGGGTTGTATCTTTCGGATGTTGTAACTATCCTCAAGGGTGATCTTTTAATAAACCCTTTTCAAGACCATCCTGGCATTTCTCTTAGTAGTCATTCTTTGAAAATCATCCTTCAAATTCTAAATGAAGTGTCAATATAAGATTAATGGCAACATTTCCCCTAAGCCAAGATTTGGAAATACAATCAATGCCTGAAGATTTCAGGATTTCTACTGGGCCCCCAGATATGCTTTGCTTTCACATAAAATGCAATAAAATACGTCTAAATCTCACAGGTTTATGAATAATGAGATTTTGATGAGCTACCCAACCATACAATAGCACAGAAAGTAATCTTTTTTAAAATCGTTATTCTAATTCTTTAGGTCTCACTATATTTAAATTAGTTACCGGTTGTTTGAGACTTTTGGGTGAGGAAGGACACTATGTAGTTTAAAATATCTGTTTTCCTTTTCTGTGAAATTTCAGAAAAGCCGCTGTCAATCCCAGCAATCCTGGAAGACAAAAAATACTGTAGTTATATTTAGTCAACACATACAGGGGTCGAATCCTCTTCTAGTCCAGTGGGAGCCCAACTCCCAGAATTTCCCTCAAGGAGTTGTTTACACATCTTCATGTTGCCATAGTTAAGAAACACTGCTACAGGCCATTGAATCCAGAAGTGAAGCTAAAGTACACTATGGTTATTCTTATTTTCTTCTTATCCTATTATGACATAAAGATAAGTCTACCACCACCACCACCACATAGACATAAACACCGAGCAAAACACTGAAGACTTACACAGATTCATAGGCCTTGCAGGAAATATTGATGGGGATTTGTTGAAGAATAGCAGCAGTTACACTTGGCAACACCATCACGAGCCTCTTTTCAAACCAAAGTTGATAGTCAAGATCCGTGAAAGTTGGAAATTCCTTATGCAACCTTTCAATTGTTTTGGTAAGCAAGAATGTTTCCACTTCCACTGAAATGTTGAGAATGCTGACAAAAGTAGGCTAAAAGAGGGATGAAAATCCATCATGATTTTGAGTGAGATGGCTGGTAAGAAAGAAATAACAATGATGGTTCTATTTCTGCTTTTGAAATGGGTGTGTTTGAATAAGGAACAAAGCTTTTCCTTATCAACTCATCAACTCTTAAAATATCTCAGAAATTTCACTCAAGGAGTATCTTCTTCTCCACTGGATGAATCAAATTACAGAATAAGGAATCTATTATTCATGGAACACATCACAATCACCTCCACACATTTCATGCTTTCCATACTCTTCAGCATGCTTTGTTAATGCTTAGTTGCATTTTTGTCTTCTTGTAGTATGTTCTGATGAACATCAGAACCAGAGTAATTTGAAAAAAAAATCCTGGAAAGCTAAAGATAGAAAATGGAGTAGTATAAGCCAGCATGAAATTATTAAAAAAATATCCAAGAAAGCAACCAGAGAATTGTTGCTTCTGAAACATGGTCATTTCAATTAGAAAATGTTTAGCCAGAAACTTGTATAACAAGATACAAGATATAATAGAGTTGGAGATGACCTAGTTCAGCCCTCTGCTCAAGCAGGAAATTCTACACCATTTCAGATTGGTTGTTTAATCTCTTCTTAAAAACCTCAGTAATGGAGAACCCACAACCTCTGAAGGCAAATCGTTCCACTGATTAATAGTTCTAACTGTCAGGAAATTTCTCCTCCTAGGTTTTGCATCTTGGAGCGAAGGGAAGGGACGCGACAAGCGGGTATGCAAAACAGCAACCTTTATTGAGAACAGAGTGACTACGATTCAACGTGGCGTGGTTCGCGCCAAACATTTATACCTCCGGGTTTGAACGAGGAGCCAATGGGGCGTCGAGTAGCTCGACCAATCGGGGCGAGGATTGAACCGGCTCCGCCCGGGAACCAATCAGAAAGGGAGTTCTTTATTCCCGCGCTTGTATTTCCCGCGCTAGTATTCAACACTAGGTTGGGTCTCTCCTTGATTAGCTTCCATCCACTGTTTCTTCTCTTGCCTTCTGGTGCTTTGGAAACTAGATTGAGACAACTTCTTGTCTCTTCATTGAGACAACCCCTTAGATCAGTGATTCCCAATGTGGGGCCCATGCCCCATAGGCAGGCAATTTAATTTTTAATGGGGCCAATTTGAAAATGAGCTATTAACTGAATTTGTGAAAGCCTACTAATTGTTCTTATATATTTGTGATGAAACAGCTGTGTTTCATTTACCTATTGTCTTTATTAAAGTGCATTTTCTAGGGCCTGGTCTAAAGGGGGGGGAGCAACTACCAGTCAATCAGATGTGTTCCCACTAAGGATCATGGGATTGGCAAAACACTGGCTTTTTTTTGGCAGCTGAAGCACATTGATGACTCACATTTAATTGATTGTCCCTCTTGTAGTGGATCTGTAACTTTTATTGTGTAAGCTTAAAGAAAATCTAATATTTTGCTCTGGGATTTTATACAGCCTAGTTGCAAAGCTGCCTCCAAACCAGGGAAGATAAGCAACATCTTATGGTTTGCCCAGATCTCCCTCATGCCCTGTTTTATCTTTATATTTTTCTATGGGAGATCCTTTTAAGTCGTGATTTCTGATTAATATAGCTGTATATTTTGATATTCTTTGACACTGAATATTCTGTACCTAAAGCTGCAAAGGGATTTTTTCATTTTCTTTTTTCAAATAAAAGTGATGGCATTTCTCTTGTGAAAAGGGAAGGAGGAAGAAGGGTTGATTCCCCAAGTGATGAGCGAAGATTTACAGGACCAGCAGTAAATTTGCAGCTCTAGACCTATGGCACGCATGCCATAGGTGGGACGTAGAGCCGTTTGTTAGGGCATGCAAGGCATTGCCCTGTCAGCTCCAGTGTGCATGAGCGCGCTGATGGGTTGACTTTGGCCTTCATTTTTGGCTGTTTTTCACGAAAAACAACCCAATGTGCGCAAATGGTTTGTGCGTTGGACTGTTTTTCTCCTTCCAGAAGCTTCATTGGGAATGGACTTCCGGGTTGCCCGTAGGCTGTTTTTCACCCTCCGGAGGGCCTGGGGGGGGGGCAGGGAGACCGTTTTCGCCCTCTCCAGGCTCCCAGAAGTCTCTGGAGGGAGAAAAATGGGTCCATCACGTGCCAAAAAGGGGGGGGAGGCAGAAGTCACGCAGGCATGTGCATGGGGAGGGGGTTGTCATGCGCATAGAATTATGGGTGTGGGCATGCCTACACATGACCCCCCTGTGCGCCCCCCACTTTTGGCACGTGATGGGGAAAAGGTTAGTCATTACTGGTCCAGAGGACTTCTTGGAGAGGTTTGAGCCCTTCAGTGGTTTGAGAGATAGAGCCAGTTTGATGTAGTCGTTAAGGAATTAGGCTAGAAACTGAAAAGTTATGAGTTGTAGTCCTGACACAAAATTGGTTGGGTACCTTTGGCCGGTCACATTTCCTTCAAGCTTTCAATCTACACCCTCAAGACTATCAGTCTTTCCACTCATACATTCCACAATTCTAGGAGAAAAGTTTTTGCACTTTGCAGGCCTCCCAAACCCCCTACACGCCTCATTTCTTTTGTGAAAACCGGGGCATGCAGAGAGTTTGAGAGGTCTGCAAAGTGCCTGGGGTTGGGGGGGGGTGGGGCAAAAATCAGCCGATTTTTTCCCAAAACCAGGGCATGCTTGTAGAGTACTTCTGAGATTGGGGGGGGGGGGGGCAAAATGAGCAAAAAACAGGCTGTTTTTTACTCGTTTTTGCCTCCCCAGCTCCTAGGAGCACTTTGGAGGTCTCCCAAACCCTTTGCACATCCATTTTTGTGAAAGGAGTTGTGTTTCGGAAGACCAGGAATGCTGTATTCAGTATATAAGACACACCCAGATTTTCTCCCTCTTTTTTGTGGGGGGGGAAGGTGCGTCTTATACTCCGAAAAATGCGGTAATTCTTTATGTTTTAATACTGAGGTTGTTTTGAAGGTTTTGAAGGCTTCCAGCATTATGTTCTAGTGCAGGGGTGTCAAACTCATGGACCGTAGGCCAGATGCATCACGTGCTGGCCCTGCCCCCATGTGTTTTAGCAAAGGGGGGGAAAATCTCGATACATCATATGATGCCACTGGGACAGCACGAATTTAACACCCCTGTTCTAGTGGATGGCCATTGCTTATTCATTCCATACCATGAGGTTTCTGTCTGAGGACTAAGGTTCTCAGTAAATTCTCCATCATAGAATACTACCATTTTTAGAGCTTATTGTGGGATAGTTCAGACAAGTAAAATGAGTAGTTTCCTGAAAGTGTAATACACATAAAGTGTAATATATTGAAGATTATGCTATACATGTACTATTTGGCATTTTGGAAAAGCATATTGAAAACAAGACAACCAAAGTTTTTATTATTTACCACTACCAGTGTTCAAGTTATACAGTGGCACATATTTGCTGTTACCACCTTGAAAAATCCTCCTTGAAAAATCCAAAACCACACTGCTTCTCAGACCAACAAGCTGTTAATGTAGATACCTAATATAATTAAACTACTGAAGAAGCTGCTAATTCAAATAATAGTTTAAGATGGGCTTTTTTCCAAAATGTGGAAGATCTTACCTGGACCAAAGACCTGGGCCCTCTGTGTCTCGACTTCCGAGACTTTGTGTGTCTTCGATTAGCCTGATAGAAGTTATTATTGTACTTATTGAAAAAGGATTGGAAAGTTGAAAATGGACAAGGATATTGTCTAGTTGGGGTACAGAACATCAGAAGAGGTTAAAATCTTGGAAACAAACGTTTCCCTCTTTGCATGCCCACCCACAGCTTTCCACATAAGGAGTGGAAAAAAGCTTTGTAGGTCTGAATTGTTTCGCTTTGAATATTTGTGATTTGCATCTTTCATTCACAAGGAAATCTATTTTTGAGTACTAGAATTTGGGGAGATCTGTTGTCAAGAGTGAAAAAACTGCCTGCCCTAAGGAATGGGGCAATTCATAGTCACATCTGTTTGGGATGTTTAGGAAGAGAGAAAAATGGATGAATTATGACCATAAAGGCAATTTGTCCAAATTACTGCTAGCTACTGCAGATCTTCATACCCAAATGACTTATAGTTTTGGAAGCTAGGCATCAAAAGAGTTTGACCAAAAGATTTCTTACAGCTCCTGTGTAAGGAAAATAGCCTGACCAATATTGACTAATATGGATGTTCTTTTTTCTTCAATCTGGGGAAATGACTGTGAACACATGGTATGTGTGGCTGCCTTGCAAATTTTAGTACAGAAAGTTCTCACGTTTTTGAGAATTACTAGACCCAACATTATTTAGATATGATTCATGATTATTAAATTTCCGTGAAATCAGTTCTGTAATATCCTGAGTCTCAATGGGTACATATTGAAGCATGGGTATGATTGTGGCAATACCCGAGGTCCAGTCCCCTAAATGACTGCAATATTTCTTTGAATACAAGAATCCATCAGGACAGAAGCATACTGCTATTATTTGCAACAGATACAATCAAATGGCCAACTTCACATCACTAAATCATGCATAAATTAAAAAAGGATTAGATTGCCTACCCATCCCAAATGGGAACCAGAAAGCATAGAAGTCATTGATTTAGAACAGTTTTTAAAATCTGCATCAATTATTCCTGCAAATTAAAGTTTTTCTTAAAGATAGCTGTACCTTTTCAAAGGCAATGTTGAATTCATCCCAATATGCTGCTAAGGCATCAAGGCTTGGGAAATGGCCCAGTCTTTGAAAGACTTTCATCACCTTGTCAATGGAGCTCAGCACTTCTTCTGTCATGGTGAGCTGAGCGAGTTGAGCAACTGAAAGTTCCGTTAGGTGAGCTATCTAAAGGAGAGAAATAAAGTACAATGTGATAGAAAGTTTTCCCTTTTGCTTTCTACCATATCTAGTGGATCAGCATTATGTCATATTCAAAAACAATTGAATTCAAATGGCCCAGAGTTCACTGATTAACCTACATTTGATAGACTAAGATATTTTGAAGGTGGAGTCAAAAAGTAAGATGGCACTATGTGTAGTCTCCACTCAGAGATAGTTGGCACATGATACTAGCAACTGGAAATAACTTTGCACACATTAGATTTTAAGAGATTCAGGACAATGTATGTGGCACACAGTCCTATATTTCATGAGAAAGGAATAGTAGGAGGTCGAGACACTGGACTAGATACACTTTGAGTTTGATCTTATCCAGTAGGGCTCCTCCAATGTAGTAAGAATAACCTATCTGGCTTAGGAGGTACAGGGCCAACTGGCTCTTAAGAGGTATGGGGCAGCCCTATGGCATACCCAGCCCTGTCCATTAAATCTCACACCACCCAGTTCCTGCTGGTTTGTCTGTTCTGCAATATAGCATTAGTGGATCAATATGCATCCCTGGGCTAGATGATGGCTGCTAGTGTGTAACGAAAGAGGTTGCCTCTCTCCCCATCTCATTTACCAGAGGTGTTTTCCAAGGATGCTCCATGGAATGAGTAAGAAGATGGAATTAGGCAAGATAGATACACAGGAGAGCAAAAGAGTTTTCCTTGAGGTACTGACTGAGGAGCCTGATGCCAAGACCTGGACACAAAGTGCTCCAGAGACAGCAGCCTCACTTTGCCAAATGGTAGTACCTTCCTAGGCAGAGGATCTCCTACCTAGCAGTCTCTTCCAGTTTGTGAGGAATAAAATGGAATAGCATTACCAGAGATCCCGAGGCAGAATGTTTTTATAGATTTGCATGTAAAAACTATATGTAGGTTCTAATCTAGAAATGACTGAACTTTGACTTAGGAAAAGTCTGAGCTTTAGGTATGTAGTTCCTCACACATATGTTATTAATAGAACATCTATTTACACAACACACTAAATACATTATCATATAGTGCAACTGCCACATTTACCTTTACAGGCAAAAGAAGAACATGCTTTTGGATGTATTCATACAATTTAGTACAATTCTTTTTTTAATTTGATGTATTGGACATTTGTATTTTTATCTTGTCAAGGATTAAATCACAGAAATTCTGATCTTGCATTCTCCTTATGTGCTCTCCCAAACAAATAAACATAGCATGCTGACACAAGGGCTCTAACTCCACTCTAGCTTGCTGTGCAAACACTGTCCTTGTGAGTAAAATTTATGTGCTCATTAGGAAAAAATGGCCAAATAAATTTTAGTCTGGTTAGCAAATGTCATACCCCATTGAAGCTGGAATCAATCGCCATCAGGTCTGTGAGGTTAACGATGGATCTGAATCTCTGGAAAGTGAGGGATAACCAGTCTTCTGTTATATGACAGTCTGAAATTAAATGAAGGTAGCAACAGACTTCAAAATGTTGAAAAGAATTGTATTGTCATCCATGCACATAAATACAGACAGACAGACAGACAGACAGACAGACAGTGTGTACTATATGTGGTATATTTTGTTACAGATGGAACAGATTCTCTACTTCTGTTGGTCTATGCCAATTTCTCCCATGTTAATTTACTGGCGGGTTCATTTCCACATTGTTCTATATTACTCTTTTAAAAATCAGCATAATTAAATACATTTAATGTAATATAATAGATATCAAATATTTTTAGATTTAGGTCTTTCCATAATGCAAACTCTTGGATTATTTTCTGTGTATGTTATATGCAGCTTTTAAAACAAAGCACATTGTATATTGACTTTATGTGTGAGTAAAGGGCAAAAAATGCAGGAGAAAGTATTATCTCCCAAAACTGCTGAACTTCCTCTTATAGTTGAAAAAGTCTCCATATCGATCATGAGTTAAAAAAAGGAAACAGAAGGAAACAGCTCACCAATCTTCTGAAGAGTTGTCTTAATCCACTGGGCCACTTCAGTTTTGGTCTCTACCAACATTAGGTCAAATACATGATCCAATCCTTTCACACTACAAGAAATCAAAGTAGTAGTAATACTAGAAATTTTCCTTCTTTTCGTCCTTACGTTATCATATGCAGCACTGATTTCTTTTACTTCAGAGGCTTGAAGGGGGGGGGTGAATATTGTCACTAAGCAAGAACCAAATTCTTTCTTGGAGACAATAATGTATCTTTTCAATGGTTTTTCTTTGCCACCACCCTTCTGTAACCTGGTTTTTGCTAGACATTTGGAAGTATAATTCCCAACTATATAACTAAAATAAAATCTGGAAGGTATGGTCTTGGGGAAAATGCATGAAAATTAATTTCTGTATTAAGATTATAAATTCTAGAACATGGGTTCTCAAACTATGGCCCGCGGGCTGCATGCGGCCCACCAAATCCATCAATCCAACCCACACAAGACCACGAGGCTGCCCTGTCCACATTCCCCACCCACCCTTCGGCTGAGCACAGGACTTACATTCATGAGCCCCGCAGGCTGGAACTGAAAGTTAAAGGCCAACAATTTTGGCCTGCAGAGACATTCTGGAGGCAGGGGAAGTGAAAAATGAGGCGCACAGATGCCCCAGAAGGCGAAAAAACAGGTGAAAACTGCCTGTTTTGGGCCAAAAAAATGAGCCATTTTTGCCTGGTTTTGGCCTGCATAATGTTTCTGGAGGTCAGGGTGTGTGAAAAACGGGGTGCACAGATACCCCAGGAGTCAAAAAAATAGGCGTCAATGGACTGTTAAATTGGCCATGCCCACCCAGTCACATGACCTAGCCATGCTCACCAAGTCACAGGACCACCTAGCCACGCCCACCCACCCAGTCCAGCCCCCCAACAATCTGAAGGACCGTGAATTGGCCCCATTTAAAAAGTTTGAGGATCCCTGTTCTAGAAGAACAGTTGGTCTTACCTGAACTGTATTTCTCGGAGTCTTGTGGGAGGGTTCAGGAATGGGTTATTATCACGTCCAATCTGCCCAGAGACTGAGTTAGAACTGAAGCCATGCCTCTCTGCTTTATCTGCCTGGCTCTAGTTTAAACGAGGTCATAGCTTCATTGAGAACCTGGAAGGTAAGGATAGAAGAAAACCTCCTCCCCTTTCAAGGCCACTAACTGACCTAGGCTAACAATGACCCACACAGTTTGGCTCAAGTCCACAAGGACTAACGTCAACTATGTACATTTTTAGAGTGGGGCCTGGACCCTCCCACGAGACTCCAAGAAATACAGTTGAGGCAAGATCAACTGTTCTTCTCTGGAGTAGCTTATGGGAGGATTCAGGAATGGCACATACCAAAGCTGGTGTCCAAGGGTGGGGATCTACTGATCCTGAGCCCCTGGGGTGTCTAACACTTGTTGTAACACCCTTCTGCCCAAGGATGCCATAGCTGAAGCGTATGCAGCCAGCCTATAATGCTTTATGAAGGGTAATGGGGATGCCCATGTAGCCGCCCTACAGATGTCCTCAATCGGAGCTTGGGTTAACCAGGGCCCCGAGGTGGCAGCACTCCTTGTGGAATGCGCTGTAATGCTGGCAGGCACTGGAAGATTCTAAGCCCTGGCTATGGCTGTTCTGATCCACCTATCGATGGTAGTGGGAGAAACCCTTGCCCCCAATGAAGGCGGCTTGAAAAAAATGAAGATCGCTTCCAACCTCCTGATAGGTGAAGTGTGCTTCAAGTAGATGCGTAGAGTCCTCCTAATGTCCAGGTGATGCCATAAACACTCTCTCTCCCTAGAGGGAGCCAGACAAAAATCAGGGAGTACCACCTCTTGAGCCCTATGAAAGGGGGAGTTAACTTTCGGTAGGAAAGAGGGGTAAAGCCTGAGAACAACCCTATTGTCATGAAAAATGCACAGGTCAGCTCTGGATGACAACACACTGATCTCAGAGATGCATCTGGCAGACGTAACCAACACCAGAAAAACTACTTTGAGAGTTAGCAATTAGAGACTCTCCTTTCTCAACGAATGGAGCCCTGGTAAGCGCCTTAAGTACTGTGGGAAGATCCCAAGTGGAGAACCTATGAACTACTGGGAGTCTAATGTTAGCAGCACCCTTAAGGAAGCTTTTGATGACCAGATGTTGGGCCAGGGAATGAGTTATTTCCCCTCTGAGCAGCCACCTGCCTGCAGATGGTACTATGTGAAAGACAGTTTTCCAGACCATCCTGGAGAAACTCTAATACTTGTGCGGGTGGAAGCTGACATAGGATCCATGGCATTATATATCCGCCTAGAGGCCTCTATGGTTCTAATCACGCGAGCTGAGAAGTTAGCAGCCCTCAAGTGCTCCTTTTCAAGTGCCAGGTGGTCAACTGGAGCCACTGAGGCTCCGGATGTACCAGGACCCCCTGGCACAGGGATACTTCTTCCCATGGAATCCTTCAATGGGAAAATACGGACAGCCCCACTAGATCTGCGAACCAAGGCCTCCGAGGCCAATATGGGGCTATCATGATGACCTCTTCCCTCTCTGCTACAATCTTCTGTAAGACCCCTGGAATGAGGGACAGGGGAGGGAAGGCATAGAGGAGCTTGTCCGGTCAGCTGCTTCCTGGGATGAAAACCGGGAGACGAACCTGGGAACTTATGTGTTCGCAGGTGTCACGAACAGATCCATGGTCGGCTGTCCAGACCTCTGACAGATCTGGTCGAAGAGTCTGGGATGCAGTTGCAACTCGCCATGGTCCACTGTGGCTCTGCTGAGCCAATTGACCTGGTTATTCTCCACACCTGAAATGTGTTCTGCTTTTAGTGACAGAAGGTGCCGCTCCGCCCAGGTTCCCAGTCTCAATGCCTCGTTCCATAGAACTAGTGAGTGGGTGCCACCCTGTTTGTTTATGTGCGCTTTGGTGGCCACATTGTCTATTAATGCGAGGATGTGGTGGTGACCTCTGACTTGCACTTTGAAATGGTGAAGAGCCAGATGGACTGCTCTGAGTTTGAGCCAACTTATGTTGTGTCGCAGGTCCGATGGAGTCCACTGACCTTGGGTTAGTTGTGAGTCCAGAAGCGCTCCCCACCTGAAGAGTCTTGCGTCTGTAGTCAGGGTCATCTAGACTGGCTCTCTGAACAATGAGCCTTTGTGCAATGTCCACCAGCGGAAGGACAGAAGGACCTGGGGCAGCACACAAATCTTGAAGGTGGTATGGTTGTTCCCATTTCGTTGATGAGGAAGTAGCAGTTACTGCAGTGGTCTGGTGTGAAGTCAAGCCCATGACACAATCGCGATGCAGGAAATTAATTTCCCCAGAAGCCAGGATAGAAGTGCTATGGGGACAGAACGTGCCCTGAAGATCTGCTTGATCAACTGCATTATTCTATCCCTACGGTCGGGGGAATGGAAGATCTTGCTCCCCACTGTATCAATGATAGCATCCAGGTGTTGCAGCCTGGTGGTAGGATCAAGATGGCGCTTCTTGAAATTAATTGAGAATCCTAGAGCCTGAAGTGTCCTAATGGTAGGTCTCTCCAGGTCTGCGTGGGCGTGGCTGCCTGAACGAGGATATCATCCTGGTAGCACTGAAAACGGACTGGGGCCAAGCGAAGGTGGGCGGCCAAGACTGTCAGCACTTTAGTAAACGTCCTAAGCACCGAAGCAAGGCCAAAGGGAGAAGCCCTACACTGGTAATGGACCCCAAACTGTTGGAGAACCTAAAGAACTTTCAATGTTCCTGGAATATCATAATGTAAAGGTAAGCCCCCATAAGATCAATCGATGCCAATTGGTCTCCTTCCCTGATCTTCTCTAGAAAGGACTTCAAGGACGCCATTTTGAACTTTCTGTACACCAGACGAGAATTTAAAAGTTTTAAATCGAGAATAGCCCTCCACCCACCCCCACTTTTGAATTCTTAGGTACCACAATTAGATTAGAGTAGAATCCTAATCATTTCCGCTCCTCCGGAACAAGCTCAATTGCCCAGATATCCAGCAAATGCTGGATAGCTAGCCTCATAAGTTGACACATGACCTTGTTTCAGGAGGGAGAAAAAGTCCTGAAATGGTTCAGGAGGTGGGAGAAAAACTCCAATTGTAAGCCAAAACTAACTGTATGGAGCACATATGCGTCCAAGGAAATGGAATCCCAACTATCCGCACACAAAGTGAGGAAGCTGTCTATAGGGTGATTTTATCCCGAATCACTTACCCCTGTGGCAGGAATGGCCACCCCCACTCCACCCTCAAAAGGGCCACTTGCTCTGTGTCTGATGCCTGCATCTATCCCTGGGATACTGCCTATCTGCCTGTCTAACAGATCGTTCTTGTCTTCCACCAAGATAGGACCTAGAGAAGCGCCAAACAAGGATCCACCTGAGAATGAGGATGCCAGCTGCCATTTGGACCTGGCATCGGCTTGCCAACTCCGCAGACACAGAATATGTCTGGAGGTGATTGAAGAGGAAAGCACCCTGGAAGCATACATAACGGCATTAAGAGCACCATCTGCTGAGAATTGGGTTGCAGCCATCAATTTATTGACGTCTTGGTGCAGTCTGACATCAGTTGCAGGAATGCGCTCCTGTATTTGGCATAACCCAGAGCAAGGTAGTGCGATTGAAAAAGGAAGCCGAGGTGGCCGCCTTAATGGCCCAGGCCGCTGCTTGGAAGGTCTTGTGCAGAGTTAATTCAGCCTTCTTGTCCCCCGCCTTGAGATTATCTGAAGTGTCCCTTGTGACAAGGGAGGTAGACAAAGCCAGAGCCGCTACTGGAGCATCAACTGTAGGCATTGGTAAGGCCTGTGAAAAATCTGATTCAAGATTGTAAAATCTGCAATCATTACCCCCGGTAATGAGCTTTCCCTAACCCAAGAATGCCAACTGGTTCTTGACCACATCGAGGAACAATTGAAGGGCTGGGATCTCCTCCTTCTCTACTTGAGGCTTGGTGAAAAGACCCCTGCCCACTACCTGCTGAGCACAGGCACCTGTCATAGGAGTAGGGATACCTCCGAGGTTGGCGGTGGCCCTGGCTTTGCGGAGAAGAGACTTAATAAAGATGGAGGAAAGAGGCCTGTAAATGCAGGAGGATCAGGTGTTAGAGTAGCCTCATCATCCGAGAGGTCAATCTCCCTCTGTCCCTCTTCCTCTAAGAGGGAACCCGCATTAGCAATAGATGGAGAAGCAGGCCTTTGTTCCTGAGCAACCAAAGTTTCAATTTGGTGTGGATGACTTTGTGGGGTCCCACAGGAAGAATGTTGCTGGGCGGGTTGATTTTTCTGATGCAGTCCTGAGGCAATACCTTAAGATATTCCCTGTGCAATCAATTGCCTGAAACTCTCTGGAAGGTCAGGAATGGATGGAGAGAGGGTGGGAGGCTCTGAATCAGACCTAGCATGAGCAGACCAAGGGGCTAATCATGGCCTATGCTGGGCTGGTACTGATCCTGATGCTAGGCAGTTAAACGGATCCCCTTGATAGGCCTCTGGAACCCAAGGCGACAGGGGGTGGGACAGGGAAATGATGTCCTGAAGGGAGCCCCTGTGAGATCCAGGCGATCGGTGGAAGGGCCCAGACACTGGGGAAAGCCTGCACGGTGACCTGGATCTTGATGGGGAGGAGGTGATCCTGTTCCTGGCCATCCTCTCCTTCCCAGTCCTGATAACTCTTGCCTCAGAAATATTTTGTTTACGAAAGCCACCTTTCTTTGAGACCTTGGAAGAGCTCTTCCTAGCTGGAGTTTTAGCTCTCCTTACTGAGGAAGCTGGTTGGGAAGGTTCCTCGCATGGACTGAGGTCCCCATGGGACACTGAGGAGCTTGCTGATTCCTCTGGTAAGGTGTCCACCATTTTAGCCACCCTTTCCAGCCACGTGCTACTCACGATCGACAAGAATCTCCGCTCAAGTCTGCCACCTCCAACTCCTCAGCCTGAATGTGCAGGAACACGCGGTGAGCCAAAAGATAAAGTCGGCTCCCGCAACTCCATCGACGTGGTCCTCGCCTCCATGTGTTTCCCCAAAATGGGGGCCTCCGGCTTCGCAGCCCCCCCCAAAACACCAAGGTAGTCTGGAGAGAGGCCATCCCTGGTACAGCGGGAGATCTTGCCTCTAAACACCCTCACTAGCACAATCCCCTGCGATGAGTTGCAGCTCCGCCAATCCTTGCAACCCACCCACATGTGTCTCCTCTGATCACCAGCCGCATGGCTTCAAAATGGTGGTCGCTGACTCCATGGCCAGAACTTGATGGCCAGGCCCTGTCCCCAGTACAGCGGCAGAGCAGTCCCCAGGCCTGGCAAGCATTGCATAACTCCCGGATGGAATGGGGTTGTAGGCAGTATCTAGTGAAGCAGCCCACCTGTGCATGGTCTCAGGGAGCCTGGAATAGCTGCCCCAGCGGCTCCGCAGTCGCTCTCTCCTTCTGGTGGTAAGATTCAAGTTCCACCCAGAAAGGAACAGCAAGAAGACTCAGAAGGGAGGAGGTAGGAAGGTGCAGGAATGCGTGAAGAATAAGGTTGATTTAAGGAAAAAATCAGGAGCCAAGACAAAATAGTCTCTATCGGGCCGAGACTGAGTTTAAACTGGAGCCAGGCAGAGGAAGCAGAGATGCATTGCTTCAATTCTAACTCAATCTCTGGGCAGATTGACATGATACTAACCCATTCCTGAACCCTCCCACAAGCTACTCTGGAGAATGTGAGTCTAATCTAATGTCAGTTATGAAGATCAGATCAATTCATTGATTGCAATTGCAATTAATTCTGGAAAATGACCATTTTAAATTATGTTAATCTGAAAAAAAATCCTCTGTATCATATTGTGTTATTGTCTGAACTGATTTTGTTCTGTATGATTTGAGAACTGAACCAATCATCAATTTGATTCAATGAATATATTTAATGAAAAGTATGATCAAATTCCTCAAATCAATTAGGTGTATTAAAGACTAATTTCTAGTAGCAAGGAAATATGTTTCATGATTTCTTTTCCACTCCCCCTGCACCAGCCCAAAATAATTTCAGCTGTAAAATATGATAGTAAAGAGGTTTGTAATTAAGTGAGTAATTAATACTCACTTCCTTTTTAAAGATTCCCCTTCCAAATATCTCCTTCCTTTCTCTCTGCCACTTGCATTCCTTCACCATGCACACATAAAATACTGTAATAACCTGTGGAAATTTGGATGGCAAATTTTACTTACATAACATGCAAGTAGGTGCAGTTGGATGGAGAAGGAAGAATCTTCAGCTCTTCAACAGTGATGGCGGGCAGGTACAATGTCAGAATCCTACCAAACCAAAGCTCCAAATCAGTTATCCTCATGAAGTAAAAATGTGGCTTTAGGATTTGAAAGATTCCCTTTAGCATGATGCCACGGACTCTCACGTTGGTTATTTCTACTAAGTTATTCTGCAGACAAATGGTGAAAAAACAAATACAGAAATTCAAGTTGTCCATGAAAAAATGCTTTTATACAGGTAGTCCTCAACATACAACAGTGTGGCTAGTGATTATTCAGTTACAAAGTTTCAGAAAAATGTGTCTTATGACCATTTTTCACATTTACAATCATTGCAGCTTCCTGATGGCCATGTGATCAAATTTCAGATGCTTATGATCGTTGCAATGTCCTGGAGTCATGTGATCAACTTTTGCAACTTTCTGAGAAGCAAAGGTAGTGGAAGAAGCCAGATTCAGTTAACAACAGTGTTACTAACTGCAGTGGATCTAACTTCAGATTCACTTAACAACTGGGGCAAAAAAAGTTGTAAAATAGGGCAAAACTCACTTAACCAATGACTCTCTAAGCTACATAAATTTTGGGCTCAATTGTAGTCGTAAGTTGAGGACTACTTGTAGTTGTTTTTAGAAGGCGCAATGTGATTAAATTATCATAACATATAGGTAGTCCTTGACTTATGATGACAATTAAGCTCAAAATTTCTGTCGTTAAGTGAGAATTTGTTAAGTGAGTTTTGCCCCATTTTATGCTTTTTCTTGTTAAGTGAATCATTGCAATTATTAAGTTAGTAACCTGGCTGTTAAGTAAATCTGGTTTCCCCATTGACTTTGCTTGTCAAAAGATTGCAAAAGGGGATCATATGACCCTGGGATGCTGCAACAGTCATAAGTATGAACCAGTTTCCAAACATCTGAGTTTTGATCACCTGATCATGGGGATGCTGAATTGGTTTTAACTGTGAAAAATGGTCTTTGGTCACTTTTTTCAGTGCCGTTGTAACTTTGAACAGTCACTAAATGAACTGTTGTAAGTTGAGGATTTCAGCCAGATCAACTAAGCCTAAAATTGCATTTGTACAACCTGGAAATTTTGGTCCATTTTAATGTTGCTTAGCATTATCAGTGGTTTGAATGTGTCCAGCCATGTTAGGTTTTTTGATATAACTGCTTTCATTCCATCTTCTGAAAAGCTTCTGATTTCTTTTACCGAAGTAATTCACTAGTGGCAGAAGCTTTGGATGAGGAACATGCAGAGCAAAAAGATGCTTGGTTCTGACTTAAATCCTTCAAGATTGTAGGATAATAGACTGAATGCTAGTTCTTCACTTTAAAAGCCTCAGCAAAAATCCAATTCAATCTCCAGGTTTAGTGACTCTAGGTCAAACTATACTCCTCAATTCTGTTGATTCGTTGGTTTATTTTTTTGCCATTTCTTATGACAAGGAATATCAGTGTAACTAATGAACAACCATTGGCTTTTATCATTTCAAAATCTGTTAATTCTTAAAAAGGCAGATGTATAGTATGTCATTAAACCAATACAGAATAGCAGAGTTGGAAGGGACCTTGGAGGTCTTCTAGTCAATCCCCTGCTATAGAAGACCCTATACCCGGGATGGCGAACCTATGGCACACGTGGCACAGGTGGCACACTGAGCCATTTGTCAGGGCACGTGAGGCGTTGCCCTGTCAGCTGGCCAGCGCGTGCCAGCTGATTTTAGCCTCTTTTTTTCAGGCCATTTTTCGCCCTCCCCAGGCTCCAGAGGCTCTATAGGACTTCTGGTTTGCTCGTAGGGCCGGATTAGGCCCTCTGGAGCCTTCAGGGCTTAAACCGGCCTTATGAGCAAACCAGAAGTCAGTTCCCAAACTTCTAATTTGCCCGTAGAGCCATTCTTTTGCACTCTGGAGACTTCAGGGATGCTCCTGAAGCCTCCGGAGGGCCTCCAGGGGGGTGGGGAGGCTGTTTTCACGCTCCCCAGGCTCCTATAAAGCCTCTGGAGCCTGGGGAGGGCGAAAAAAGCATGCAAAAATGGGGGGTTACGGCTGTCATGTACACATGCACGCTGGGGGGTGTCGAGCATTGCATTATGGGTGCAGCACGCCCATGCGCGACCGCCCCCCCCGGGCTCCCCCTGATTATGGCACGCAAGCCAAAAAAGGTTCGCCATCGCTGCCTTATACCATTCTGGAGAAATAGCTGTCCAATCTTTTCTTAACCTCCAGTGATGGAGATCCACAACTTCTGGAAACAAGCCATTCTACTGATTAATTGTTCTCATTGTCAGGAAATTTCTCCTTAGTTGTAGACTGGCTCTTTCCTTGATAAGTTTCCATTTGTTACTTCTTGTCCTACTCTCAGGTGCCTTAAGAAGTTGACCACTCTCTTCTCTGTTACTGCCCCCCCCCAAATATCGGACGATTGTTACTATGTCATCCATAGTCCTTCTCTTTGTTAGACTAGACCAGTGATGGTGAACCTTTTTTTTACTGTGTGCCAAAACTGCACATCACGCATAGGCACCCACTCAATCTCCACGCCCACCTGCGCACATGTGCATGACCACCACCACCCCAAGCATGTGCACATGACCCTCCCCAGGCTCCGGAGGCTTTCCTGAAGTCTGGGGAGGGCGAAAACAGCCTCTTCCAGAGGTCCTCCAGAAGCCAGAAATGGATCATTCCCAAACTTTGGGTTGGGCCGTTGGGGCCATTTTTCACCCTCCTCAGCCTGTGGAGGCTTTCCTGAAGCCTGGAGAGGGCAAAAACAGCCTCCCCTGGCCGTCCAGAAGGGCGAAAAAAATCAGCTGATGGCTGGCGTGCTACCAAATATGGTTCTGTGTGCCACCCGTGGCACACGTGCCATTAGGTTCACCTTCACAGGACTAGACATACCTAATTCCTGCAAAAGTTCATCGTATGTTTTAGCCCCCAGATCCCTAATCATCTTTTTTTCCTCTTTTCTGCACTCTTTCTGGAATCTCAGTTTCTTTTTTGCATGATGGTGACCAAACATAGATGCGGTAATCCAAGTGGAGTCCTACCAAAGCAGCATAAAATGTTTCTAATACTTAATGTGGTCAAGATACTATTCCTCTGTTGATGCAGCCTAGTATTGTATTGGCTTTTTTGGCAACTACAGCACACTGTTGGCTCATATTTAAGTGATTGTCCACTAAGATATCTAGATCCCTCTCACAGTTACAGTACCTATGCAGTTCTAAGTGTAAAATCTTACTTTTCTCACCACTGAATTGCATTTTGTTGGATAGGGCCCAGTGTTCAAATCTGTCAAGGTCCTTCTCAATTTTGAGTTTATCTTCCAAAGTGTTACATTTCCCACTAGCTTGGTGTCATATGCAAATTTAATGAGTCCTCCTTCTATCTCTTTATCTAGATCATTTCTGAAGATGTTGAAGAGAATTGGGCCTAAGGCAGAGCCTTGTTGTACCCCACTGCATGCTTCCCTCCACGCATATGTTGTTCCACTGAGTGTAGTTGGTCAGCCAGAGACCAACTCATCCGATGGTGATGCTGTCTATCACACTTTTTAAATTTTTTACCAAGAAATAGATTGTGGTCAACTTTGTCAAATAATTAAAAAAACTAAAATAAAAACCATAGCCACAATAATGATTTTTGGTTTGCTAAAATAGTCTACCAGATAACCTTGTCTCACCTGTTCTGCAAGTGCACTGATTTTGAGCAGAAATGTCTGGAGCTCAGATACTTTTCGACTTTGGAAAATGTTCATCACATTGGCTGCCTCCATCTCTGCATTCATCCTCGAGCTGTCAGTCAGAATGCCAGACAAGACTACCAGAGTTCCAATCTGGGTTGATGTTAGCAAATCCAGCACTTCAAACTAAAAATAGTAATAATGACAACTCACTGTAGCATTTGTTGGATGAACAGAATAATAAAATAAAAATGAGAATTATTTTCCTTGTGTCAACTGATGAGATCTATAATATAATTTTATAATATTAAAATTCTTCATAAATTTTAATAACCAGGAAATTCATGGCCCATCCCCATGTGTTCTGACCCCCCCTTGATGGCTCGTTAACAAACGCAGACAAACTTAAAAGGAAGGCTTTACTTTATCAGTTTTCAGTTCAAACTGGCTTCGAGCCCAGAAAATAACATAAACATAAATCTCCAATAAGAATTCAAAACAAAACTCTTACAAGCAATATGCACTTCTTCCGAAGCCTTCACGGATCAGTTTACAAGAAACACCAAAGCATTTATCCAAATGTAACAAGCATAAATCACGATTAGTAATCAAACAATATTTTACCAAACACGGAAAAAAC